ATGTCAATCCACTCACCATCCGGTGTATATCGTTTGTCACTCTTAATTTATTTTAAAAAAAATGTTGTTTTAATGGTAAATTTTTATAATACCGTAGTTTTAACGACGAAAGGTATTTTATCGATAAAAGATTTCTTTAACCCTTACGTGTCTGATATAAGCGTGGTACCCGTATTCTACTGCCCATACGCGTGTAAAACCGCGACTGTAAAATTTTATGACGTCATAAAATTTACGACGATTCGCTCGAATTTGTACGTCAAGTAGTATGTTATCCGTATGAAGGTATCTCTTTATAGTTTTGTATAAATTATCCTATAAAGGCACTTAAAACCTAAAGGCCCCGTAGAGATAGCGTAAATAAATTCACTGCCCTATATCATTCATTGGGTGTCTGAGACAGACGGAAATCGAATAGGAGATGGGCAGACACAGCAGCTTGCATTATACAATTAAGGCTGCAAATGCGTTGTCACCCTTGGGACTAAGATGGAATGCGCCTGTTATTATACTGGATCTCTTTACCCTTAAGAATTCAGATTTGGTGGTAGAAATATGTACGAGTGTAATTATTACCTAATTACACTCCTACGCCGGAACTTAGTCCTTACATCTAAAATTAACTTATTATATTTACCTTATATTATAAGACACCCACGGGACGATATGGGGTAGTGGATATTCTTACATCGCCACTACACGGTAGGAAATATATTATGAATATTAAATACCATGTTTTTCTATAGTATAAGGGTGACAAACGAGCACACAGTCCGCCTCATGGTAAGTGGTTGCTGCAGCCCATAGACAAAACCTATCCTACATTACAAATCAAAATGCAGATGCGTTGTCAGCCGTGAGGACTAAGATGGTATGCCTCATTTCTAGTTAAAGGGGTCTCCGGTTCTTTACACTCACCATACGAAACACAGCAGTGATAAGCTGCTGTTTTACGCTGGTATTCTGTGAGAGCATGTTCCTTCCCCGGTCGAGCCGACCCATTCGTGCTACAACTATACTACTAATATAGCTGCAGCATGGCTCTACCACGTAAAAAACCTAACATACCATAACAGAGGTATTATACCTTTTATGACTAGCCCACATTAGTTACTATCAAACTTTTAAGTGCCTAACTACCTATGTATTTTTGCCGCCAATTAGCAGTTAACTAATTGCTGTGTTCCGATTATACTTCGTATTAAGTGAGCCTGAATAATTATCGAATTTATTTGAGTTAGTACTTGACACATATGTGACCTTGTTTTGTCTCTTTGTTTTACGTTTGTTACTGGTGTGTATGAACTTTCAGCTCGACAGTCATTCCAATATAGAATAAAAAAATATATATTCAATGAATTTTAGTTTTTTTTTTAAATTACTTTTAGGTGACTAATATGATTGTTAGTTTTTCTTTTAATTTTTTTTTTGGGATTTTTGTCAAAATGAGTTGCCAATCCCATCATACCTTATACAAATTACTGCTAACATTAGAACAATATAAAATTGTATAATTGTGAGTAATAGTTAAATTACTAACCTAAAAACAAACTTATACTGAAGAAGAGAAGATAATTATTCCGCCCTAGAAGCAAGCCGGAATAACCCTCTTGACATCTTTGATTTGGGGTTTGATAAAACCATTTGCACTAGATCGACATCCAAAACATTTGCGTTAAATTCTTTTAACACAGCCTGTCCATCATTTTCATTCTTGACACATTCCATCAACAAATGGTAAGCATCTTCAATTTTGTTGCATGCATCACGATTCGGTGAAGGTTTTTATCCCATTAAAAAAGCGAACTTTGCTGATGGAATATGACCAGAACGAAGCCTTAAGGCTAACTTAACAAAATTTTTGCTGAGATCACAATCATTAAATCAAGGTACGCGATAAGGCTCGCTTTGTATAGTTCTATACCAGATGCCTTTCGTTTTAGATTTCTTTTCAAAATAGCTTTTCCAGTATTGGAATATACACTTTTAAATTTTGAGACATTTTCAGTCGGATCTGGTATAAAATTAACAATGTCACCCTCTACTGCAGCTAGCTTAGATAAGCGATTAGCCTCTTCATTGCCCTTAACCCATTGCAATATTAAAGGAACATTCCGTTTGTTATAAATATTAATAAATTTTAAAATACTGGTTGTTATAGATATCCTACTATCCTACTATAATTTTATAAACGTAAAAGTTTGTGAGGATGTATGGATGTTTGTTACTCTTCCACACAAAACTACTGAATATATTTTAATGAAACTTTACAATAATATAGTTCATACATCAGAACAATACATAGGCTAAAATGAGTCAAAATATAACGATAAGTGTTATGTAAGTCGGAAAAAATATGTCTTCTGTGAGCTAATTTGGCATGCGGTGCAAAAACTGTAAGAGTTACACAAATATAATGTATGCTGAAGTTGTATATTTCATGTGTAAGCCATTATTACCAAAATAGTGAACGAATAATAAAATACTTTAAATACTTTAATCGCTCCTGATGTTTAAAGTAGATAAAATTTGTCTTTTAAACTACGTAATTTTGTCAAATATTTTAAAAGTAACGAGGATAGAAAATTGTGTAGCTCCGGCGCGCGCAGGGCGGTCGGGCGTACTGCGGGCAAGGTGGAGGGAAACATCGGTCATTGCCGCGTAAGGAAATGTACCTCTTCACGCCTTAACCGCTGAACCGATTTAGATGAAATTTGGTATCGAGATAGTTAAAGTCCCGGGGAAGGAAATAAGACAGCTTTGTTCACGGAAAGCATCCCTAAAGTGGATGATAGAATTTACTATGAAAGTGCGATTATTTATTGATCACTTATGATTTAAAGTATAATAACTTCGCGGACAAAGTCGCGGGCAATAGCTAGTATAGAATAAAGAAAGTAATCTTTATTGAATTGTAGCTTTTTTTATTAATTTTAGATTAGCTAATACTGGTTGTTCACATGAAATATTTTGCTCGAGTACTAATTTGATCTTCATCATTCATTTTGTTGATCGAAAACTGAAGTGATCATTTACGATGAGGGAAAACATTTTAAGGAAACCAGAATTTCAAACAAATAAAAAATTCGGGAATATTTTGCACTTTTCTACTGCATAAAAGTCATTATCAAAAAACGGATACACTTGGTTAGCGATGAGCTGTGAAATTGAGAAGTTTTCACTGCAGACATAAAAAAAACACAGAGTATTTCAGCTACGAAAAAGAAAAGTGTATCGGCTTGACCGGGGAAGGAACACTCTTACAGAATACCAGCATAAAATAGCAGCTCAATGCTGCTGTGTTTCGTATGGTGAGTGTAGAGAACCGTAAATCCTTTTTACAAGTTACGAGGCATTACATCTTACTTAGATCTCGGGAGTTTCAATGCATCTGCATTTTGATTCTTAATCGAGGATTGATGTAGATGTTTATGGGTCATTGCATCCACTTACTCAGATGGGCTGTGTGCTCACTTGTCACCCTAAATTAAAAAGATCTAAAGTCGCCTTCTTACGATGCCCACGGGACGAAATGGGGCGTTGATCTTTCTTATGTGGTAACGACACTACAATAAAACAACATTCTCAAATAACAGATAACAGAATTTCTAAGTCCAATATTGAGACTTTTATAAGAAATTACTTTTAATTTTTTTCTAAAATTTTACTAAAATATCAACATCCATCTCATATTTTCCATTTCAATCATAAATGGCATAAATAGGCAATTTATGTTAAGTGTTTTTTACTTATAATAAATATCTATTACCAAACCTAACGCAAATGGAATTTCGGCAAAAGTTATTTTTCAATAAGTTATGGAGTAGACGAAAGTTATTTATAGTTCTGCGAATTTATAGTTTTTCCATTATAATACATTACTTTTTACAAAAACTTTTTTATTAGAAATAGAAATATAAACTTTTTATCAAATACAGCTTATATAGAATACTTATTGAAAGTCACTTTTATGTTTAATTTGCCTCTGGATCAGTAAATACCTTCTGTCTTGGGAAGAATCAGCAAGAAACCCAACGGGCATATTTTTTTAAAAAAAAGATTATCATACAATCATTAAAGTTACACATTAATTAACAACACTCAGAGTAAATACGAGCATATTTTGTTATTACTCTAAGGCGAATTTCAAACACTTAATAGTCTGTGGCAAACAATCGCACAGAGTAAAGATTGTTGCCAAAGAATTTTTAAATGTTTCCATCGAGTAATTAGTCACAAATTGACTGAATAAGTTGTGAATTTGGTATGATTTCTGTTGTATGAAGTCTGTGAAGTAAATATCAATGCAAAAATTGTTTAGTTTATCTTTTGTATATAAGTAATCTGTGTTTTATATATTATGGTGCAGTTAAACGTGAAATACGGCTTGCTTAATATACGAACCTTGAAATTTAATTAATTACGGCCGAATTTTGACCACTAGGTGACGGCTAGTATATATTACATAGTTACCTAGATATTACATACTACCCCCCCTCCCCCATATAAGGCAAATCTATGGGGGAGGCCTATGTTCAACAGTGGAATTTTATAGGCTGTAATGTATGTACATACATGTATAAGAAAGACCCATGTACACCAGTGAACTGCTAACATGCTGATGCTGAAGTTATTTATAATTGCTACGCACAATATTTGTCTAGCAAATTTATTTTTTAAATAGAATAAGGGTGATAAACGAGCACACAGTACACCTAATAGTAAGTGTATGCTGTTACCCATAGACATCTACATTTATCCTAAATTAAGAATCAAAATGCAGATGCATTGTCACACCTCAGGACTGAGGTGAAATGTCTCGATTCCATTAAAAAGGGTCTCCGGTTCTCTACACTCGCACACAGCAGCATTGAACTGCTATTTTATTCTGTGAAAACGTGGTCCTTTCTCAGTCGAGCCGACCCATTCGTGCTACAACCATAATATTATAGCTGCTGCGTGAAGAAAATAATATAATTGGTACTTTCTTTCTTTTCCAGATGAAACAGAGACTGTACGAATGAAATCTGTTGTTAAAACGGATGACGAGAGTGAAGACAAGCTAAAAAAGATACGCAACAGTAAGTTTATAAATTATGTTTTATTTTATCACATAATATTATTTTTATCTTTACACTCTGCTTTCTCGAGGTAGCTTTTTAAGCTTGCTAATACCAACTTGCCATATAGAAAGAAAAGCTTTGAATCAGCTTCTTCTCTTCTTTTTATGAGCACTTAAGTGTACTCTAGGGAATGAAAATCGTCATTCCTAGAAAAGATTATAGTGCAATGGTAGTGTAAGAATATTCACTACACCATATCCTACCGTGGGTGTGATAAGAGGCTGGGCACGCCACTATAGCGGCGATAAGACCCCTCTTTGAGGAGTGGCTTGAGAGACGCCACGGCGTCCTCACCTTCCGCCTGACGCAGGTCCTCACCGGACACGGTGTGTTCGGGAGGTTCCTGCACCGAATCGGGCGGGAGGAAACGCCCGGGTGCTCCCACTGCGAGGATCGACCGGAGGACACGGTGGAGCACACCGTGGAGGTGTGCCCTGCCTGGGCGGAGCACCGCCGTGTCCTCGTAGCGGCGATAGGCGGCGGCGACCTCTCGCGTCCGGCCCTGGTCGAAGCCATGGTCCGGAGCGAGACGGAATGGGATGCCGTCACCACCTTCTGCGAAGCAGTGATGCTAGCGAAGGAGGTGGCGGAGCGGGAGAAGGAGAGAGCAGCAGCTTTCCTTCCCGGCCGCCGCGGGAGACGCCCCGGGCGTCGGGGGCTACGTCGTGGCCCCCGGCCACCGTAGGCGCGGGCCTGTGGACGGCGAGCAATGGGTAGCTCGCCGTCCGTCCGTCTAACGACGACAGGCCGTGTCGACGGCGCGTTTTGTTCCACGCGCGCCTCAAAGAGCTGTCAGCAGCGTGAAGGGGCCCGCAAGGGCCGACGCCTGCCGGGGCTGCGGGCTGTTCGAAAGAGATACCGCGGCTCCGGAACGTAAGGGCACTGAAGGAACACGGATGGTTTTTAGTCAGTAAAAGTCTGACACTCCCTTCCGCTCCACCCAGAGCGAAAGGCGTCATTTGATGATTTTCCATCCGCAAAAAAAAAAAAAAAAAAAAAGGGTGTGATAAGAGGCGAAAGAGAGTTATAAATCAGGAGATGGACTGCTGCGGCTTCCTAATAACGACTGAAAATAAAGAATTGCGGTTGCCATCTTGTTTACCAAGCGTGGCAACTATGGTGAATATACCTCCTATGAGGCAATTTTTTATAGGATAGGGTGACAAACGTGCACACAGTCCACCTGATGGTAAGTGGTTGCTGTGACCCATATATTGAGGAGAAATGTAGATGGCTACATTTATCCTCAATGCAGATGCGTCGTCACCCATGAGGACTAAGATGGAATGCCAATTTTCTAATAAAATGGGACTCCGCTTCTCTACACTCACCATACGAAACACAGCAGTGTCAAGCTGCCATTTTACGCTGGTATTCTGTGAGAGCGTGGTCCATCCGCGGTCGAGCCGACCCATTTTTGCCACAACTATATTACTAATATAGCTGCAGAATGGCTCTACCACGTATAAAATACGCTATTTGTGGAGGAAACCTATGATCAACAGTGGAGTTTAATAGGCTGTAAGCTTAGAATAGATTTACTAGAGCCGTAACGCTTGGCTGTCAAATAGACAATCCAAATACCAGACGTCCAGCAATTTTGCCCAGCGATATACAATTGGCGTGAGCGAGATGGCTATATATCTCGTCTTCTAACAGAGGCCTCATGAGCCTTTGTAATAGTCCACTCTTATGACTCTCTCGAAACTAAATATTATTATAAATATACAATCGGGTATATTTAACATCTACTTTTATCCTCGATTAAGAATTTTAATCGTCATCATCATTACAGCCCATTACACTGCTGAACATAGGTTAGCCGAAAAAATACTACAAAGCATTGGTCTGAGCCACCTGCATCCATCGAACTCCTGCATCTTTATGGATCATGTAAGGGGCCCCCCACTAGATGAAACTTTGCTATATATATATATATATATATATATTATATGCACAATATATCAGTATATATAAGTGACATAACTATCACTTATCTCCATGAATCGACACGTCTGAGAATTTTAAAACTTCGAGAGCAGCGAGTATTTGACGATATTTGCCAGTTGATATAAAACGTAGATGGCCAATATTACATTTTTATTTTGAATTCGTTTTAATATATTTCAGTAATGAACCACTAACTATTCAGAGCCTTTTCATTAAAGGATAAACTATTCAGACCGTTTTATTTTTCAAACTTGAATAGTCGATAGTTCAAAGTAAATCGTTGGCTGAAATTAGTAATGAACCGAAATTTATTAAATAGTTTCGAAATCAATGTCCTTCATTACTTTTAAAGCATTAACTTTACAAATCATCTTATTGTAGGTAAACCTACAATAATACTTTATTTATAGAATAGAATAGAATAATTTTTATTCAATATATATTATTACATAATACTTATTGGAAGTCAATTTTTTATTTTCCACTGGTTGAAAAATACTTCGGTCCTGGGAAGAACCAGCAAGAAATCCTGTGACATTTTTTTGATCTTTTTTTATTTTTTAATTATGAATGTTTCGGACTCTTTACAATACCCATGGTCACGGGGATTTATTTTTAAGCAAATTTAAAAAAGAGAGGACGTTCTCAATTCAACTTTTCTTTTTTATGTGTGTTACTGGGATGGGATGGCAAACGGACACGACCGGAGAGAGATCAGGCGCAGAACCAACGGCTTTATATGTGAAACAACGCCAATTTCGTGACTTAGGGCTGCTACTGAGCATTTCTTGTCAGAAATATCTGATATTTACTCGACCCGGGATTCGAACCTGAGACCTTATCAGCTACAATCGCGTTTACGATCACTAGACCAGCAAGTAGTCACAATCGCGTAGTTATAAGAAATCATGAAATCATTTTGTATTAATTTATCATTATGGCAAAGGTGCATATTGAATGATGATGATGACCGTCTTCATCATCAGCGTCTTGTTTATCTTCTTCGTCAATCATATTTCTATTCATTGCAACTTTATATTGCGATATCGCCTAACCAACTGAAATATTACTGATTTTATTGATTTGTATTTTAAAAAACGTTCTTATGAAGAAATTAAAAAGTACAATCGTGAACAAAAGAAAATCGTGTTTTCGGCATTCGTATTGTGTTACCGAAAAAAATTGTCAATTAATAAAATAATAAAATAAATGTTAATGCACGGGACAGTTTTCAATAGTGAAATTCTAAAGGCTTCCTTAGGATTAAATTAAAAGCGAAAGCTAATAAAAAAAAATGTTGAGTTCAATTTTTCGAAAGATATTTTGGTCACATCCGTACCGAACAACTGCCGTCCAAGTGAAACTATTTTCAATCATCTTTTGATTGATTTGGTGACAATAGAACACTACATCTCCGCTTCGCGTTCGATGTGTGCATTGTGTAAAAAATATTATGAAGAAATGACATTACACTTAGGACAATTGTTTGAAAGATAAAAATGAGTTTCCTTAGACTTACGCTTGCTTATTTATGTATCTGGGGGCACGGTAGTGCCCCCGCCAAGTCCAGCAGAAAGCTGCACGACCGTACCATCCTTCTACTTATCTAGAAGCAGTTCAGGCCTTTTCTGCCGACTTCCAAAAAGGAGCCGGTACTCAATTCGACTGTATGTTTTTTTTTTTTCGTTTTTTTTTTTTTTTTATGTGTGTTACCTCAGAACTTTTTTCTGGGTGAACCGATTTCGATGATTCTTTTTTTATTTGAAAGCTGGTACTTCTCGTGTGGTCCCATATGAATTTGATCAAGGTCAGACTAATAGTTTTTAAGTTATTCTTAAATAACTTATATTGAAGTCGGCTGTACAAAATTTTTAATTTTAAATTATTCGACCTATATTTTATAAGAATAAATAACTGTTACGAGAAAAATAATGCACTTTTTTCTCACACGGTCTTCTGCAGAAGTGACTTGATGAAGCGATTGCGTAGCGTTCTTAACTTTCTAAAATGCTTTACAATGGCCAACTCTGAATAAATATATTTTGAATTTAACTTTATCTAAAGTTGGTTGACTTTGGTAAAGTTGGTTGGTTCAGTCTAGGCCTACTATTATCAATACTTCAACTTGTTCCATATTAGTTTATACGTTAAAATAATAATACCCACCATTTAGTTGTAATATATTACAACTATTGTAAGCATACATAGTATAAAATAGTCGTAAAGTCTCTTTCCGCCGTCTGTACGCTTAGATCTTTTAAACTACGCAACGGATTTTGATGCGGTTTTCAATAGACAGAATTATTCAAGAGAAAGGTTTGTGTTATTTGTTTATACATGCATATTATATAATGCTTCTGTCCGTGTGTATGTGACTGAACTCCTCCTAAACGGCTGGACCGGTTTTGATGAAATGTTGTGTGTGTGATTAAGTTGATTGGAGAATGGTTTAGATTTACAATTGAACCCGGTAGGTGGCAATCGTGCGAAGCTAAAGTGGATCGCTAGACATTTTTTTCCCGATTAGTGACAAAATAATCTTCCTGCGCTATCTTCTCCGTCTTACCGAGTGTAGTTGTGACGTTCTCCAATGTTGACGAGATTTTTTTACGTTTATAGTAATATCCTTTATTTCCTCACCACAAATAAAACTAAATTTAGAATTATGGGTAACTTCTAAATAATACATAACAACTTTGGTTGTATTACATGTGACCAAGTCTACATCTCTATGAAGAATTTAATTGCATTACCTTTAGCATTTAATTGTCCAAGAAACTAACCGACGACTAAACGCAAAAGAATGTTTGCTATATCTCACTGCCTTTTTACATACATACATACAAACATATAATCACGTCTCTTTCCCGTAGGGGCAGTCAGAGACCACTTCTTTCCACTTGCTACGATCCTTACATACTTGTTTCGCTTCGTCCACTTTCATTATTCCCTTCATACATGCTCTACGGTTTAGGGTACTCTTGACCTGGCCTTTTTTCAATATGTCC